TATACACATATATAAAAAGAGTTAAAATTGAGTTAATCTAATAGAGCAACAAATAGACATCATATATTATACCAAATGAAATGTCTATTATCAAGAATGGATTGTGTCTTTCGGAGTTGTTGGCCAGTGAGGATCAATAGACCACCAGACACTACAAGTTGTTGCCAAAGCTCTTGGTTCCCCTTCAGAACTTGACAGTAAGACCCTGTTGCAGACACCACCACATAGTTGAGGCACAGAACATGGAAAAGTCAAGCTGGAACAGACCTGAAAGCTTCATCTACAATGGGCTAGCTCATAGTGCTGGAAGGTGTTAGCATACTACCAGAGTCATCGTCAATTTTGCCCATCAAAAAAAAAGTCAAAAAGATAACTTTTATCCAAAGATATATATGAAAATTTCATCATTATGTGTCTTCAAAACTAAAGGATTATAAATGTGTTTCTTCCTCCAAACCTTTCAGCAGAGAAGTATAAAATTGGCTTTGTATATAGGGATGTTAATTGTGGAAACATGCTATTTTTCAAGCTTATTTTTAAAATATTTTTAATTAGTTTTCCTAGGGGATGATGAGGTATTACCTAGTAGATATCTATACTGGAGTGAAAAATGAAAAGTTGTGAGGATATAATATGTAACTCAATGAAAGAAATTTTATATACCTGTAAAATGAAAAAAGAATAAAATATTATACTATATCTTTGAGAAGAGTCAATTCTTTAAGATGACAAACTTCCCTAATTTTTATTGACATTAGTTTAATTCAATTTAACAGAATTATTTTAGATTTCATCACCAATAATCAGTAGATGAGAATAGCTAATAGCTTCTTAGTATGTTTGAAAATTATGATACACTGATTTGGTTAAGATAAGTATAAATAAATCAACTCAACCAAATAGTCCAGAAACAACAATAATAGCAATTTTATAAATATTGAATTCTTTTAGTACTTGGTAAAGTAGTCTAACAAATGAAGAATGAAAGTTCAATCTAGTAAACTATGTTGGACAACTGGTAAATACCTGGAAACAAACCAAATTAGATCTTTTATGCACATAAAAAGTGGTGGCACACGCCTTTTATCCCAGCACTCGGGAGACAGAGGCAGGCGGATCTCTGTGAGTTCGAGGCCAGCCTGGTCTACAAGAGCTAGTTCCAGGACAGGCTCCAAAACCACAGAGAAACCCTGTCTCGAAAAACCAAAAGAAAGAAAGAAAGAAAGAAAGAAAGAAAGAAAGAAAGAAAGAAAGAAAGAAAGAAAGAAAGAAAGAAAGAAAGAAAGAAAGAAAGCTCAAATTAAATTAAAGGATAGAACAAAAGTTAATAAAGCCACATATTTAAAACAAAACAGTGAAATTTTCTGTATCTATGGAAGAGAAACTGGAAAACAAAGGTAGAAATCAAACATGAAGAAACCGAGTGATGCATTTCAGTACTAAAAATATTAAATAACAAACACCAAACAGAGAAAGGATATCAGCAGTATAACGAGATATGTCTATTTATTTGTGCATGTGTGTGTGTGCATGCGTGAGTGTGTGTATGAAAAGCAGTAAGATCCAAATCATGAAGTGATAAAAGTATGCAAATAGCCAGTTCACAAATGGGGAAAAATAGTTTAACAACCACATCAAAAACAGTCAGTGCCATTAACAAAATCTAAAATATGAAAAGTAGAGTATAAATATGATAAAAAAAGTTAGACATCAAACTACAAGAAAATTGTTTTTAACAAGAATACTCATTTTTAAGAACAATTACACATATATAAACTAGAATATATATTTATAGTAATCATTCAAATGTAGAATTTGTAATTTAAAAGTATTGAATGATTCAAGTGTCAAAAAAGAGGCTGATGTAAATGTATGAAGCTGTCAAAAAACAAAATTTGTCAATAAGAAATAAGAGGTTGGTCAAGAAAAATATGGCTCATTTACAACTTAGCTAAACTAAAATACAGCCCTTATAAAAAGAATGCCTTTAATTTATTTGTGAAAATATTACATATGGATCAGCTTTTGTTTTACACTACATGGAAATTACAACAAAATGTAATGAAAAATGTACATGCTCAAAAATATTCATCTTACTAAAATATAGAAGAAATTTTACTTAAAACTTAAGAGTAGTTGCCTTTAAGTCACAAGATTATAGATTATTTTTCCGTTGATTCCATTACCTATGTTTTCAAATTTTATATAACAAATAAGTGGTAAGACTATTTTGGCAGGGTGGTGATGGCTCACGTCTTTAATCCCAGCACTCGCGAGGCAGAGGCAGGTGGATCTCTGTGAGTTCGAAGCCAGCCTGGTCTACAAGAGCTGGTTCGAGGACAGGCTCCAAAACCACAGAGAAACCCTGTCTTGAAAAAAAAAAAAGACTATTTTGACAGATTGTTTTAATTCTAATTTTATTTAGAGAAAATAATTGAAAAATCTTCATATTATGAATGAAGAGCAGCAATTGTCTAAGTAGAAAACTTTTACAATGTTGAAACATTTTGTTTTCTAAAACTTAATGGGAGGAAAGGTCCTGTCTGAGAGTCACAACTGGAATTTAATCTGGGAAAGGGGAATGTACAGTTTGAAAGAACAATTTGAAGCATACAATATAAATAGGCTAAATTGAAATTCAAGCAAGCTTTCTTGGTTAATGGGAATAAACAAAATATAGAATAAGGTGGCACTGAGTAAAATGTAATTATTTTATGTTTGTTCATGAATGTATGAGTCTATTTCATTCTATTCTGTATCATATGAATCTGTAGTTTGAATTAAGAGTGCATAGTTTGCTGTACATTTTGCAAGTACCACATAGTGACAGTAAGAGAGAATGAAATGGTTATGTGTAGCAAAAGGGACACTCCAAAATAATTGAAGAACTGATCAAGGCAAAGCATCTTGTCTCATCACTCCCCAGTAGTCTGGTCATAACTCTGAAAACCCACATGACAGAAGAAGAATTCTCTACTTATCTATTTTCATAGGAAGAGGTTTTCATGGAGAAATTAGTCAACAACAACTTACATTTATGCAGCATTCACCTTCAGTGAAAACTAAAATAATGAGAATTTCCTTACGTGGTACTGACACACCTGCCTAAAAACTAAGGATTCCTCTCTTCAAGATTTTACTTAAAGCAATCTTTTGTAACAACAAACAAACAAACAAACAAAACCAGATTTCTGTTTTATGTGACTGGAAGATGAAGTCCCCAGAGAATTTGAGTGACTCCCTAAAGGTCATAGCCTGGCCTCTTGTCAGTCCAAGGCTCCTTGTCATAAAGAACACAACCTGTCTTCACAGTTCATGCATTCAATTCCAAGTTGTTTGCTGAGTGCCTATTATGTACCAGGATATGTTTCTGGTACTAAAGACAATATTCATTCCTTCATGAAGGTATTTTTGTAGTAGATCTCATATATAATTAAGCAAGCTAGTAGAAAGTTTAAAGCTCCTTCAATAAAAACAATGGCCTAGCAACACAGAGAGGTCCTTTACATTTGTTAGAATGGTCAAGGGATGTATATTGAACCGAAGGTGTAAAATCCGAGTGTGGAGCAGCCATGGGAACCTTCTGGAATGACCAGAAGAGGAGAAGTCTGCTGTCTCCACCTCTCTCCGCTACACAGGCTTCTTTTCAACCTTCATTTTCCCCTTAAGGAGCATGCTGCGTAACCCACTGCTAAGCCAAAGCAGCTCATTTCACTCACCATCCTCCATCTTTTGACAAGAAAAAAACCTAAGGATCCTCATTGGCTTTCCTTGCCCTTCTCGGGGTTCCACTTGGGAAGCAGAAAGGTCCAAGCCCACAGCTGGATGTTCAGTCCAGTGGAAAAGCAATGTTCAGACACATATAAAATCCTGGACTCTGTCCCCAACACAGAAAAATTATTTTTCCATATATTTAACTTTTAGCTTTTATGATAAATGTATTTAACAGGAGCTGAAAACTGCCACGAATAATGCTTGGACATTTTTAAAAATCAGTATAGAATGACAAACCTCTCAAACCATCCACAATTTAATCTTTATCGCCTGACCCAGAAAGTACCTCAAATTTTCGTAGTGTATCATCATGTCCACTCACTACAAAGCATTTTTTCTTTGTTTTGTTTTTATGCAGAAACGACTGTGCTAGAGTGAGGGTTTTGTGGGTTTTTTTTTTTTAAAAAAAAAAAACCTGCTTACAATAACGTTTGAACTATAGGACCTTCTGTAGAAATGCCCCCATAAGTACTTAAATAAATTGTCCGATAGGAGAATAATAATAAACTGAAACTCATAGCTTACTGAACATTTGCCCAGTGTCAAGACCAGTGCTCAGTTGTTTTTAAAAGCATGGAGGTATTTAATCTTCACAGTCCCTTGGAATATGAGTCCCATTTAATAAGTGAGGAAACTCAAGGTCCAAAAGATTGGCTTGCTGAGACTACAAGCTTAGAGTCTGATTATGGTAGGGAGGATTCAATCTCGCATCTGCTTTGCCGGGGAGATAGGGAGCCAAAACACAACTGCATCTAGTTCAAAATGGAGCGAAAGGCTGGCAACAATCTTGGCAACGACCAAAGTGGAACCGTTACAATTGGGTTTTCTTTCTGTACTCTTTAAAACGATTGTCAGGCCTGTCTTTTATCAGACATCCACGTTTTTAAACTCCTGGCCTCTCTTATGAAGGAAGGTAACTCAGCAGCTCCAGAAAATCCTTACTCTAGTACAGTAGAGGCTGCCACAAACACACTGGCGAGACCCAGCAGATGAAATCCCCAGCGAGCAACCTCTACCCAACTACTACCCACAACAGCGCTGAGCTGAGTCTGGGGAAGCCTTGGGACCAGGCATGAGAGATGAAGAGTTCTCAGGGTTCCTGCTGCTTGTGTCCCTGATTACCTTTACTAAAAGCTGTAACTCTCTGCCCCTCCTTCCAGGACTCCCCAGCAAGGTCAGGACATACGTGACGTGACGCCAGGCTGCCACTAGGACAATGTACTCACAAAACACACAAGCAGTACACGCCAGGAACACTCTCGCTGTCTCTTAGCAGATAGCTTCCATCCAGGCCTGTGGCGAGCAATAGCTTCTCCCCCGTCTCCCGGCTGATTTTGCCATGGTACACAGTCACAGCATCCATGCCTGGTTAACTCGTGTGGGCCCAGAAGGAAGATGCTCGAAAAGGGAAACGGTGCTTCTGCTTCTGCTGCTGTGGTGGCTCCCAGTCAGTCAGCCACCTGACTCCCAGGGCAGCCAGTATGCATGAAAAGAGAGAGAGAGAGAGAGAGAGAGAGAGAGAGAGAGAGAGAGAGACGAGTGCCCCAACAACAGGATGTTGTCTACCTGCCTTAGAACCTCTTCTGACACTTCAATTAAGGCCAGCTCAGCAGTTTAGCAGCTTCAGACTTGTCATGGGGGTTTGATCACCTGCTCCCCAACAGAGGGTTCCTGGTGGGGGAGGGGGAACACTGGAAAGGTTCTTGTAGTTTTGGAACTATGCCAGCAATGCAGACAGACCTTGCACAGAGATGAGAAATTTGATAATGCTTTGCTCGGTGTAGCCCCTGCAGAGCCATCAGGGATGACTTGGCCTGACTAGTACACAAAAGAATTGATGATAGAGGCAAGTGGCATCATGAGAGGCAGAAACAGCCTGACCAAACGAATACATAAAAACCACTGGAACTGCAGAACATGGCCAGGAGACTTCCACAGCACCACCAAGTATTCAAGAACTATGGACTTTGGGACTAGATCTTCTTGAACAAGCTCTCTTTTCTTCAATGCTGATGTTGGCATCCAGGACCTCGGATAAAGTCTTCGACCACTAAGCTAGTCCTTGAATAAGCATAGGCTCAAGCAAATATTAATTTTTAACTTAATATTGTGTTCATGATCCAAAAGTACCAGTTTAGTCACAAAAAAAAACACGCAATTGTGCTTAAAAACTATTCCAGATTAATCTAGCTGAAGAGTTTAAGAAGAGCACATTCTTTTATTGGTGACTCTTAGCTTTTTTTTTTAATTTTTGAGATTATTACTTTTTCTTCCCTTTTTACCCTTGAAACCCTCCCAAATACTGCTCCCTGTTTTCCTACAACATTTTGATTGCATCCATATATGTATATACCTAGAAACCCTAATCACAACCTGCTGAATCTATATAATGGTATTTGTACGTATGTTTTTAGGGCTGGCCATTTGGCAGTGGACAACCAATTAGAGTACTCTCCCCTGGGGAGACCACTTTCTCCACTCCCAGCTTTACTCTGCTGCCTGTAGTTCTTGTATAGGACTACAGGCTTGTGGCCTCTTTCTGTCCAGTTTGGCAAGCACATTGGTGTTGTATGTGAACTTTTGTTTGTCCTTTCGTGTATTGGACTAGGCCCAAATCATTTTGGATATAAAACCCATTTTATGTTATTGTGTAAGTGTTGATATTGTAACTTTTTTTTCTGTTGCTCTAGTGAACTTTTTTCTACAACTGATGCTAAACTGGCATTAATTTCTTAAACCCTCTCCACTTTTTATTCTTTGATATCACGTATTGATTCTATCTCAAAATATGCTAAATAATGTTTCCCAAAAACTTTCTTCCATTCCTCCCAAATAGTACCATTTAATGCCTGAAACTGACCAGTCTCATCTGTATCTTTAGATAATGTGTGATACTTTTTGAATTGGAGTGGAAACAGCTAAGCTATGCTGTCTGTTGTATATCTTCCACAGCTTTAGCCCTCAGTGCTTTGTGAACCTGGCATGGGTGGGCTATCTTTAAGAAGAATGATATTAGATGCTCAATGAATTAGATGCATAGAGTTATCCTACACCAAAAGGAAAGGTTTGAGATTCTGAATAAATCTCTATGGTGGCAGCCAGTCACAACGAGCCATCTTTATTGAAAACAGTGCCTGACTTTTGTAGCTAAAATATAAACCTGCATTTCCCACAGCCGTTTTCGATAAGAATTTTTTAAGATGGCTTTATTGAAGATGACAACAGAATAGCTCTGGGGACTGGGTCAAGATCATCTCAACGTCCTCCTACCTCATGTGTTTTTACCAACTCCTTATCTTTTCCCATGGTTTTGCTTAAGAAAGAAATTTAAATTGATCTGATACATGAATGCCTATCTCAATGTTAAGGACTTCGGAAGTTAGCCTAAACAGGACTCTGCATCTAAAAAAAAAAAAAGCTAATACTTTGGAAATTAATTACAATGATGGCATTTCAGGCATCAAAAGGAAGGGCATCCTCTTTTATCGGGTCATAAGGACTGCACACCACCTATCCTGCAATTGCTAGAACATTCAGAGATACGTAGGTTAAAAACAAAACCTAGCTTTTCTTTTTTTTTCTTTTCTTTTTTTTTTTTTTTTTTGTCTCTGAACAACTTGGAACAAATCATCTACAAACTTAGGAACAGAGCAACCTGGATGTGACAGCACAAGCGTGCCATGCATTCTTTTCTTTCTGTTTTATTCTGAATTTCTAAAATAGCACGCTTGTCAAAGCAGTCAGGTACAGTGGGGTTCAGCACAACTAAAATCGTATCAAAAAAGAACAGTTAAATTATAAGGTAATAGTACAACTCTCACATCCAGTACCTTATTGTCGTCTCACAAGCAAGCTGACAGGTGAGCCAGCCCACCAGCGCAGTGTTGATGAAAACTACTGACATCTTCACTGGGCTGCTACACAGACACTAAACCTGACTTTGGCAAATTCACACTTCATGCACAGCTTGAAGTGTAGAGAGCAGAGGAACTGAAACAGCTTTCTTCCTTCTCTGTCCCTGTGCCCACAATACAGGAAGACAAAGATCATACAGCAGAGCAGGGGAGATAATAGGGGAACCAATAGACAAAGAACTAAGTAATGGGCCCCATTTATGAGCAGAAGAATCTGCTTGTTTATTGCCTATCTCTTCCACTTGACCATAAAGTCCATAACAACGGGGCTTTATATGCTTTATTCATCACTGTACCCTCAGTGACTGGCACACAGTGGATGCTAAATGTGTGTGAGTGTGTGTGTGTGTGTGTGTGTGTGTGTGTTGTGTGTGTGTGTGTGTGTGTGTGTGTGTGTGTGTGTGTGTGTGTGTGTTGTGTGTGTGTGTGCGTATTAGTGAACGAATAAATGGCTGGAATTAAAGTTGTCAAGAAAAAATCTGAAATTTTCTGTGTCTCTCTGTGTCTCTGTCTCTCTCTCACACACACACACATTCACACACATGCACACATGCACAAAATGCTTTCATATACCTTTGGCCCACCTTAGAAACCACATTGTAAATTGGAAGAAGTGTTAGTACAATAATTATAAGGTCTGAATTGTACTCCATTTTTTACCACTAACTTGCTTCCTTTCTCTAAGCCCAAGGCTTATTTTCTCCATCTGTCAAATGGAATTGAGCCAGGGGACCCCTAAGCAGTCATTTCCAGACTTAACTTTCAGTGTTCTAAACAAAAACCTCAAATAAATAAATAAGAGATAGATGACAGACAGAGAGATAGATAGTTTGACAGACAAAACTTCTTTGGAGAAAAACAGAGCTTGTTTTTGTGGAAGAAGCAAGACCTTGAAGTCTTGAGAGGAGGAGGTATTTGTTCTCATTGTTTTTAAAGCAATCTCCAAAATTAAATCATACTGTAGAAAGAGGGCTTTATATTTTAAAGAAAACTTTTTAAATATCGATGCCATTTAAACCAAACACAAAAACACTGCAAGCTAGGAAACCTGTCAGCCAAGGTTGAAAGGGTCTTCTTTTCTAAACTTGTCACCTCCTGAGATCTCTGAGAAGTGACAGGATTTTGCATGTGGATACCCTGTCTGAGGTGCTAATTGTCTGCATTCCAAATGCCCTAGGCTATTCTGGAGCCCAGGTAGATGAAAAGAATGATGCCAAGGGTGGCCAGTTCTGTAGAGGAGATGCGACATTTCAGAATCTTTCTCTCTAACCTTTCAAAACTATTTTTTTTTCTTCCACTAGCTTATCTAAGAAGTGTGAATTCTCCTGTGACCATGTTATGATGTGGTGAGTTTACACATTCTCTTAGCACTAAAATTTACTTCCTTTACAAAAATAAGAAAAAAAAAGCCTTTTAAAAAGAGAGAGAGAGAACACCTCCTTTCACTAACACTGAAGTGTATGAGGCTACTTTTTTTCTAAATCCTCTCTTCAAGGAGGGAAGCAGACCCAAAGGTGCTGTGAGTATTTGTTTAAACCTGCTAAATAGATAGATTATTCCTCTAGCTACTCATGGCCTTCTAGTGTAAGTCAGGTACAATAGTTGGTACTTGTCAGAGAGAAGAAAAACAGCACCTGTCCTCAAGTAGCTCACAAAAGGATGCCAACAAACAGTTACATTCAAGCTCCTGTGTTGCTTGGTTCCCATCTGGTGGCACTATTTTGATAGAGGATAGAAATGCTAAGTGGGGGGAGGGGCACTACCTGGAGGAAGTAGGTCACTGGGCATATACTTCTAAAAGTATATCTAAGTTCAAGGTGTGTATTCTCCTTCTGTCTCCCTTCCCCTCTCCCTTTCCTCCTCCACCTCTCCATCTTCCTCACCATCTTACTCCCCAATCCCAGTCACCATAAAGTATATTACTCCTCCACACCCTTTTCTTTTCTGTGATGCTGTGCCCCACTGAGTTCTCTGAAACCATAAAACAAATTATTCCTGACTTAAATTGTTTAGGTCAAGCATTTTGTCAACGCAATATAAAAGTAACTAATACAAGTTATGATAGAGAGGGTGGAATTCTCACAGCACAGCAATACTACACCAAGTTCAAACTGTATTCTAAACAAATACAGCCTACTTGATATGACAGTGCCTTTACCTTTCTGTCTGCTATGTAGTTACTTCCTCTACTTTGCCTAATTTTGCCTCCTCCATCTTGAATTCAAAGCACCCTGATTCTAGCCGAAATAGCAATTTCTGAACTTCTAGGCCTTATTTATCAGTATAACGTGGAAAGCTCTTGCTTGGATGGTCTGTTGTTCAGATTTCCAGGCCCAGAATTTAGATCATCAATTCTCCATCCATTCATCCATCCAAAATAGCAGAAGGAATGATCTGTTACTAAAGCGGTCTAGCCAGGTTCAATGGCACATATCTGTAGCCCAGCAAT